TCTGCTAAGGTCCCTTCCAACCCTAGAAACTATGAAACCATAAACTGCGCTGCTTACAGAAAACCGTATAACTTAGATCGACTCTGCTTCAGGTTTTCCGAATGTCTGTACCCTTGGGAGCAAACACATACAAGTCAGTAAGAATTGGTCAAATAGTGACTCTTACTGGAGACCTCCAAGAGCTCAAGCCATAGTGGATCTGGAAGCTAAACTGCCTTTTTTCCTTGCCTGGCTATTTCTGGCAGACTGCGCATGATGATGCCCCAAAGTCTCTCTACCAGTTTCTGACTAACTTGTGATTAAATGAATGATGGGAAAGATTTCGCTAGGAATATCCTTTGTTTGAGTTATTTATTTCCAAGGATTTTTTCTATTTTATGTGATTCTGCATCCCCCTGCATAAGAGTATGCAGGCACAAAAATCTTTTACCAGGTCCAAAGACATCATATATCAACATGGCCTCATGATGTGACCGACTGTTTGATACATTATCAGAAACTGGCAGAACAACAATGTGGCACCTCAAGGCATGGTAATACTTTGTTTCAAAGACAAGCTAGGGGATTTCACAATTTGCCTTATGTCGAGAAGCAGAATGGAAAGGCTGACGTCATGTCACATGCTTGCGTCCAAAAAAAAAAAAAAAATGCTGCAGCATGCCTTCAATGGAGGCAGTGGTTTATTTTACTCTGTACAGGAGCCCTATCATAACATCCAGTTACTTGCACTTGGGCATGCCACCCTGCCTTAATTAAACTGGCCTACTGAATATGCACCAGGCTGGCGTGTTTGGTCCTACCACACTGAGCCCACATGCTTTTAGCTTCCTAGTGTCTCAGAAGAAACCAGTCACTACTTAACATGCATTTCCTTGATGAACACTCTTCAGCTACAACTCCTTGATGGAAGTAGGACCTTATGACACAGCTCTCCTAGGCCTCTAGGATAAGTACTGAACACCAGAGTCTAGTTAAGCACATCTTTTTCCAAGGCTCTATTGGTGGGCACTCCAGGGACACTAGTTGATGTAAACAGACACACAGACTTTGTAAAGGCTCTGGAAAGCCTACAGCCTAGCATTCTTTACCTCCGCACAAAGCAAATAAATCCCTACACACACAGGTTCCCTGCTTGAGTTTCCTTATCACTTCGGATTCTTGGGATTAGGTCAGAGTCCTCTAGGTTCACCCTCCTCCGTTTTATGGCTTCTCCTCCAGATCATGGCATCTCTGGATATGGACAAAGCAGAACACTTCAAAAGGTCAGGAGTACTTACAATCTAATTAGCAGGTGTGGACAAGCCAGTTATGATCCAAATGTAGCAAAACCACTCCAACAGTAGCCCTGGATGAAGCAGTCCTGAATCTCGAGTGGTTTTTCTACATTTCTGTCATTCCTGGCTTGTCCCCAGGTGACGATTAGAATATAACCAACCATAGCTG